AGAGCCAACAAATTTGTGAGAGTAAGGAAGATAAAATACCCATTCCAGGAAAATATCATAGGTCTTCAATATAAAGAAATAGAAAAATTGAGTTCTGTCCAAACCACATGTATAAGACAAGGCAAAGCAAGGCCAAGGCCAGCATTCAGTGGTAAAGATGAAACCAGTTATTTTTAGATTTGGCAAGTTTATTAATTACATGTAGAAAAGAAGAATAAGCCCAAAGCACCAGCTCCCACTGACCCTTACCACCACTTACCAAAAAGGACAATCCAAACACAAAAGGGGCTGATGTCTGCAATGCAAGCTGTTGGATAGCCTATTGTTGGGGAGCCAGTACTAGACTATAGCTAAGTACTTTTATATTATGCAGCTCTAGTTTGGGAGCTGGGATGGGGTGAAAAGCTCCATATCTCATTAGAACCCTGGAGGTGATCAGAAACTGCCTCAGGAACACTTCCTGGGGAGACAGGAGTAGAAGATGACCTCTTAGCAGCTCCTTCGAGGAGGTCTCCCATCCTCTTTTGTTCCAAGAGGATCACAAGTTGTACAGCCAGGACTCAGATAAGCTGCAGTTCAAGCCTTTGCCTATGTTATATGGAACTGTGCAAGGTCAACAGGGTGCCACAGCCTTCTTCCCCTGGACAGAAAACAAACGACAGCAGCCTCCTGGACTCCTGCTTTTCTCTACAAAGCGCAGTATCAGTTAAGTCAAGGAAGGGCTCAGGTCCAAATGGGATGTCATTTTGCATTATTTAGTTGTGCTCGTGTTGTAATTAAGAATCTGACTTCATTTCTAGATGCTTAACTGCTGACAGCTTCTAAGCTTTACCTTTTTCTCCCCTCTTTCCCTTCCTGCTCCATGTCTGGACAAGCTGATGAGAAAGCCCATCGTCCAAAGCTTCTTTGGAACCAGTGGGAAGTTGAAACCACGTGCAGGAACACTCACCCCAGCCTCACCCACTAACCACCATAAAAACCCCAAAGTTAATCCCCTTTCCCTGTTCTTTCAAGCCATTTTCTGACCAGCTTGGGAGGCCTACCCTGCTCTCTCACCAGAATAATCTCACTATGTGATCAATAAACATTTTCATATTGTCGTGTGTGTGTGTGTGTGTGGGGGGGGATATCATCAGTCCTGACATCCAAACAGAATTTTGGGTGGGGGTCTGTACTATATCTGTAGAGTGGCCAAAACATGTTATTCAAACACTATGATGATGTACATCCTTAACCTGACGGTTTATATTAAAACACTTAAATGAAAATGTTTAAAAGCACATATTAGTAAGTTTTCCTTATAGTGACCTTCTGTTTATTTTACCACTTTTAAGAAAAGAGGAAAGGCAGTGGCAGAGAGAATGGGAAAATTACTTTTCTTGCCAATGATTTTAACTTTTTGATGAGGAAGAGAATATAAAGTTGAATTAAGGTCGGAAGACAAGGCTTGGTGATGCTGCTCTCAATGCTAGCCCCCCGAACCTTACTCTACTCACGTACCCAAGACTTCTAAATTTTAGCTTCTGCTCAGACCCATCTATTTAGAGCCAGTTTCCTACATCCAAATTACAGTTGACTACTCACAACTGGAGAACTTGTAGACACTTCTAGCTAAAAAAAATTATCTCAATATCTGTTTCCTCCGGCTGGCTTCCTGCTTTCCTTATACTAGTTAATGCCCACCATCCTCTTGTCTTCTCAATATAGAAACGGGAGAGTCATCCTTGGTTCCTTCCTCCTCCTCCATATCTCCTGTCCCACTAATCACTGAGCCCTCCCACTACAACTTCCCAGTATGCTGAAAACCCATCCCTCTTCTTTCCAACACCTTACTTGAAAATTTCTAACTGTAACCACTAAAGTAACTTCTTAAAACACAACTTGTCTTTTTTATTTATATGTGCAAAGATGATATTTAAAATATCCAAAATAAAATACAATGAGAATGTATTTCCCTTCCATACCTGTCCCAATTTGTGCCCCTTTCCAGAGATATTCTATAAGTAGAGAAATGGTTGATTCTAGGACCCAGGTAGGAAATATATAAGATGACTCTGGAGAATCTTGTAGTGCCAGAAGGTAAGGAAGTGCTCAAAATACTCACCCTACCACCTCTTAGATGGGGGTGTGTTAGTATGTTAAAGGGGCATAGGAGCCTACTGAAAGAGTTCCCAATGGCCAAAGCTGAAACAATTTGAGCAACAAAATAAAGAAAGTAGTATTAGGTTATGGCCCAAAGTAAAAAAATTTCATTGAGTCCATATTGATATAATGACTGAATAAATGGGGAGAAGAGACATATCTCCCATGCATTCCAAATAATTTATGTAGATACTCTGCCCTCAGGAGGAGCAACACAATTGCCCACTCCTCAGGTGTAGGCTAAGTATGGCGACTTCCTTCCAAAGTCATAGTATGGAAAAGGAGAAATAAAGAGTAACTTTACAGTGGTGAGACCAGACAAGCACACTCTCAGCCGGATAATCCGGGCCACTATCAATGGCCACAAATCAAGTTGACAGTAGGTACTGTTGATATGACATGATAAAAATAGTACTTTACTTCTGTGACATTCCTTCCAAAAACTCATAATCTCAATGCCATCATGAGAAAAACATTTTAAAAATTCTAATAGTGGAGCATTCTACAAAATACCTAACCAGTACTTTTGAAGGTTATCAAAAACAAAGGAATTCTGAGAAATTGCCACAGCCAAGAAAAGCCTGAAGAGACATGACAACCAATGTAATGTGCTCCTGGAAACGAAAAAGGGCATTAGGTAAAAACTATGGACTTTAGCAAGCAACATTTTATCAATATGACATTAGAGAATAAACTATAATCAGAACATAGACAGCTCTTATGTTAAGAGAGTGTTAAATTTCCCCAGAGTTTTAAAGCTGACACTAGTCTGTACATGGACTTGGTGATACTAGCTTGGGGTATCCGAAGGTGAGCACATCTACTAAGACAGCAAGGAGAGCAAAACACCACTCAGGCATTTGCAGCCCTCTCCATCATCTCTGCCCCCTTTCTCCCAAAAGAACAACAAGAAACTGCAAGTAAAGATTGCCTGGAATAGAAGCCAGACTACCAAAGAAAGCCAGTCTTCTCTAATTCTGAAAATTCACATTTATATCAATACTGTTCACTGTCCCCACCCCAAATCTGGTCAGTCCTAAGGTCTTCTCACGGGCTGTGCAAAAACATTCAGATCTGGCTGCTATAGACTTATCCCTTTAATTTGAACTTAGCCCTCAACTTTCCTGCTTCTCAAGGGGCAAGTAAAAGTAGTTTTAGGAGTAATTTAGAATCTGAAGAATACAGAACAAGAGAGATTTTTTACCTGGACAACATGAACCATTTACATCAACTATAAACTGAAAAGTTCCCTAGGAAAATCCAAACTTCCTCCTAATAATGTTTGTGTTGGTTATTAGTTCCCTCAAAATCTCTAAATCTTTTCTGGAATAAGGAGGGGCATAAATCAATAAAATAATGTTATGACCAGACAAAAACTCAGTGATATTAGCGTTCAGAAAGGGCCTCAGTAGAATGTTGTTCTCTTTCTTTCTCTCACCACATAAAGCCAAACATAATAAGTTCTGTAAGCCACAGAGATAGCAATTTTGATTAAAAATAATCTCAGTTCCAGGATTGTGCGCCCCACTTTATGACTTCTGGCAAGACCCACACCTTCTTGCCTGGAAATTCAGCCCCAGCACCAGTCCTGCCGGGTGGGCCGTACAGGGCAGGGGGCTGAGCCTCAGGACACTGAGCTCTTCAATGCATACTCGTCGTCTTCAAGTAATTGAACTCGAAGAGTCATGTGACAGTGCCCCAATAAGCACCATTAAATATAAACAAAGCAAAAACAGTTCATTTATCACTTCATACATTGTCCATTACCTTCTCAGATTTTACGTTTGAACACAAGGGACTGTGAGTGAAAATGATACAAGTCTAATCAATGGGAGTTACATCTCTGACCAAAGGTTCCAGCCCAACTTCACAGGAAAGATTATGAACACCAAAACGAATCAACTTTAACCACAGATAAAATGCTATATACACTTTACATTATGTGACATATATACAAACCAAACGGGGGGATTCAGTAATAAGTTACATTTAGTAACTCGAGATCAGAGTTGTACAAATTGGGGTGAAGGGCTCTGATTCTACAAAGAAGGAGCACGAGGACCTGTGAGCAGTGTCTAAGGGCAAGAGCTAGAAAGAGAAATGAGTGAAGGCCAGGAAGAAAGGCACCTGAGGCTGGGGTCTAGCCCGATCACTGGCTGGCTGGCCTATTTGGTGAAGGTGCCATGTGTCACAGGAGAAGCCAGCAGGGTGCTTCTAGTCTTCACTGGATGGTGGAGGCTGCCTATATGGTAAGTATTCATCAGGCAAAGCCCCACTCGCCTCTGAGTCATTGAATTCCAGATCATTCATTCATACCTTTATCTTGTAACAGAATCTACCTCATATCTGTACCACAAATCAAAAATCACTAGCTGAGTTGTGTACAAAAGCTGAAACCAAGAGATCTTAGAAGCAGTATTAGAAAAGTTTAGGCTTTGAAGCAAGGAGAAGGGGACCTGAGATAAAGTCTAGATAAGCATGTCTCCAGGACATGAGAAAAGGCCCTCCCACCGCCATGGACTGATTCACTTTCACAAACACTTCCCTTCCTCTGCTTCTACACTCAACAGCCATTAAGCACACTCCCAGGACAATTGGCTTAAGGGAGCTTCCCTCTGGAAAGGAATTGCTCAACATACATTAGTCTCTTATGAATTTGGGTATTAGAAAAGACTAGTTTATGTTGCACAATCACTCAGACGCTGTAATCAAAATTTCAGATCTCCAGACATATGACTTAGAATATGAAGAAAAAAACCCCAGAGGATGAGGCCTATCTACCTGTCTTCTACTTTCCCAACTTCTACATCATTGTGGATAGCTTTATTAGTTAAACCAATAAAAAGAAATATAAATACCTGATCGAGCAATGCCACTGTCCCTGTCTTCATTCTGCCCTCTGCTTGGCATATCAACTGGTGTACTGTGTGCTAAAATAAAGGCATAAGGAAACCATGTTATTGGGCTCTTCAAAGATAAGAAAGTTTTAAAAATGACTACAATAATTTTTACATTTCAAAGTAGGCTACTGCTACTGGTGATTGGCATAAGCTTATAACAGGGATTAATGATTTACTAGAAGGCAAAACTACATATATAAAAAAGATGGTCAGAGTAAGAAGAAAACAGAACAAAGTAACCATCTGCCTTTATCATACTGTAGCATGTACATTTTTTTGAGGCTCTATAAAGGCCTGAATAGTAAACTATTCATGCAGTTGATACAATGAACAAGCATTCTCAGGTAGATAAGTTTAGCCATTTTCCTCATTATTAGTAGTATTTCAATAGCACTGGATTTTCAAAATGCTTTATAAATCAGTTTCAGTAGTAACTGTAGGCAACATATGGAAGAGAAATACTTGAAAACCATTTCATAAATTCAAAAAATGTTTCTCTGTTTAGAACCCACTCTTTTGGCAGATAGAAAACACTTACATTCATTTTCAAATATTTCTTCCTCCACTTCTTTTCCATATACACCCATACACAGTATTATTAAAGAGTTACTCAGGAAAACTGGTGTTCTGGCACGAATTGTGGAAAACATTCTAAAATATTATAGACTTCTAGGAATGCTTCAGGTTGACCTGAGCTGTGTACTAACTGAGCTAGAAGGCAGATGAAATGTTGCTACCGTTAGTTTTACAGTTCCAAGAAACCTAGTGTCCTGGCCGATTATTACACTTGCCAGCTATTTTTTGAAGCATGTTTATTTTCACAATTTTAAAGAGAGTATATAAACATGTTATCCTCACTCTAAGTAGGTGGGAGGGTGTCATTTTCATTAGGGAGTCAGTTAAATATGGTGCTTAGCATATTTCAGGCTACGAGGAAGAATGGAAAGTAAAATACCATTTGCTATACTCACAACTTTAAATGTTAGTAATGGAGGTTCCCCACGCTTATTAATCATGCCAAGACTACAACAGACATTCAACAGCCTTAGCTAGCAAGACCAGTTCAATCTCAGAATTTACCCAGAAATACCAAGATGATTATACCTGTAAAGAACCTAAAAATTGCATTTAAACTAGTTAATTGAGAGAGAGACAGAGAGAGAGAATCTTCCATGCTCTTATTAAAGTGACTTTTAAAGAAACTCCGTGCAGGTAAGGATGCAGGTGAATAAATGGATAAAAGATACCACGGCAAAGGGAAACAGTTCATAGCAGCAGAAGAGACCCAGGGGGAAAAAATCAGAAAAAATAATCCTCTTAGAAACACTAAGGGCTCATTTCAGATCAAAATCAGCTTACACTAGAGAATTAGTGGAGACGTTTACAATAGAGGTTCACTGGTGGAATTTTCAAAACACCAAGAATTTGGCTACATTTGAAACTAATATCTCTTACGACAAGAGCCCCTTGGATTTCTAGAGAGGCACAAATAGGATTTTTTTCTAAGAATCTGCACAGGATTTATTAATGTGTGTGGGTTACACTGTACTCAGCATTCCACACAAACCTGCAAAGAAAGAAGCACTCCGGGTGAGCCGGAGGGGTCCTCCTTCAGCTACGCCCTGCAGCAGTTTGCTGCTGCAAGCTTGCAGCAGACCTAGACAGAAACACATAGAAGAGGGCAAAGTACACACACAAAAAAAATAAAGACAGATTAAAGATAATGCAAAAAAAAAAAAAAAATCAAAACACAACAAACTCAAATAAAGCAAAACACACACCCACAATAGTGGTATTTAGAAAGAAAGGATTTGCACGTCTGATTTTACCTAGATTACTTCCAGTACGACAAGGACCCAAATTATTCTGATTTGTGTTCAGTTTTCCCAAATTAGGATCTTGGTTGATGTATTCAAAGCTATCTTGCAAGCTAAATCCAGAGAGGGGGAGAAAGGAAGAAGAGAACAAAAATGTCAAGAGGCTACTAAAGTTGTTTTTAACAGACTTGCAAATACAGACAAAAACTGATCATTCAATACTTTTCTTTATAAATAAAGTCTCACATCTACCAAAGGGAATTAAATTGGCAACTTTAGAGGAAATTTTTGGAGGAAAATAAAAGCTTTCTGGAAGTAGCAAAACCCATACTACTAAACAACTGTATTTCTAACAATTTCATATTATATAATGGGACACCAAACTCTAAATTTTGCTTCAGTGACTGACACCTAAGATACTGCTATTCAGTTCTAAATTTTGCGTTAGCAACTGACACCCAAGATGTTGCAATTCATTTCATGGATTTTATATAAACCCTCAAAATGAAATTAATTTTAACTCTAACATTCATGAGCAATTCAGCAATTTTTTTTAGGGGTAAGATATAACAAAATTTATGATTCTCATAGGAGTTTGATTTCACAACTTCTAAAAAGTTAGAATTATTCAAAAAATGTGAGAGAAGGCCAGGCATGGTAGCTCACACCTGTAATCTAAGGCTTTTGGAGGCTGAGGTAGGAGGATTGCTTGAGCCCAAGAGTTTGAGGTTCCTCAGTGAGCTATGATGCACTGTAACCCAGGCAACAGAGTAAGACCCCCCACACACACAAAAAAAGGAAGTAGATTTTATTAGTTTATTGTATATATTAACAAGTAAAATAAATATCAAGACTTTGAGGATAACACAGCATGGTAAGGCCAAAATAATTTTTACTTAAATCTGAGCTCAACATTTTATTACAAGGAGTTAGAATTATAAATATTCAGGTAATCCTAAGGAACTGAAAAAAGAGTATCTCATAAACAACAAACATTAATTGTCATACTGGCTTAAGTCATGACAGTCAAATGTTAACTGCTCAAACTATTTTGTTGAAGAGTAAAGAAAGACTTACTAAAGGGTACCCAAATATACAAAGGAATATATTTTTAATTTTCCAGGATTATTAAAAGAAAATAGCCTTCCCTGGGCCTTTAAGAATGCCCTTTAATTTATAACAAGCCTTTCTTTCAAATTTATCAATGTATAACAGATGCTTTGCTGATTTACTGAAAAAAAAGTATATGAAATAATTCTCCTTGAAAATCCAAATTTATGAACAAATGTGCCAAGATGAGAGGTTAAGTTATTAGACATTCCAGTATTCTTAGTTGATACAAAAGTGTAAAATTGGAGGGAAAAAAAATCAAGAGTGAAAATCAAAATACTACATGGCCTAAGTACATCAATCAATCACAAAGGCTAAACTACTGCTCAGAATAGATGGCAACCCATCCTGCCATACAGGTGTGTATCAGCCTACAAAAACTCACTATGTACTTTAATCCTTCAGAAATAAATGCATAAATAAGATTGTTTAAAAGATAAAATATTAGAAAATACCATAAAATCATTAATGTATCCCCTTCCTTTTTTTCCTTTATTTTTCATTTTTCAGGGACTTAAAACTTGGTGACTGGTGGTGGGAACACAGTGGGTATGGGAGACCCAAAATAAAGACAAACTGTCATCTGTCTTTAAGGCTACCTGATAAAGTCAAAGGCCTTTTCCCAAAAACTCACTGTTTATAGGACAACGGCCACTTTTAAAACTCCTTTGTAAAGTTGGACTCATCTTACTTTTCATTCTGAAATGCCTTAAAAGAATTACTCTATCCAGAAATAGACACACAAAAAAATGGGAGGGGGGGGGAAGAGTATAAAACCCCACACTTACTTATTTGTACTTCCACAGAAGCTGCCCATTCTAGCAGAGAAGACTTTACTGATCATCAGTTGTGGAGGAGAGCTGGGGAAAAAAAAAGAAGAGGGGGAAAATGCATTTTTGAGTTAAGGAGTCAGTATCACCATTACACTTCTCCACTTCTCACAACTGGTAAAAAGGGAAGCCCAGACTCACCGTATATAGTGTATCTTTAAGGTGGAGCCTTTGTAACTCATTGCAACCGAGCCAAACATCATTTCCCCTAACATGTTGACATCAGAAGCTGGTCTTGTATACTAAATGCAAGAAACCAAAGTTAGTACATGTAACATCATGATATGCAATGCAATGCATAATAACATTTATTAATTTATGAGCCTCTCATTAGTTTAGTCAGTAATTACAACTCCTTTTCAATGCTGCAACTGGTCATTTTATAATCTTAATTTATAATGGTAATTGCCTTTCCCCCAAATTATTACTAATGTTCATGATTTCTTTATACAACATCTTCACAAAGGATCCAAGTGTTTTATCAGAGTTCATTTTCATTCCTTTTATGAGAAACAAAGATTACCATTAACTCCATTTATAAACAACACTAAATAGAAAGGTTAAATTATGCAAGAAACAGAGTGACTCTTCTTTTTGGCACTAAGAACACATCCTGAACAAAAATATGGTTATTATTCAACCAAATCATAAACAAGTATTGATCAAAAATGCCAACTGGTGCAGACAGGGTTTTGTGAGGGTTCAAAAGATATCTGATGGTCTGACAACTCTGAAGTTTTACAAAAATGTTTGACCCCTCCCATTTCTGACCAGTCCTCCTCATACCTTTTGTCATCCAACAGGTGGGCTGCACCGCCTCCACTTCCTCACTCTGGCTTGCCTGCTCCCCTCTCCTGCAGGCTGACTTTGCCTCTAATGCTCCATCTATCCCAACTGCTCTGATGATGACCTCCACCTCTCCCTGCCAGATCCAATGCACACATTCCAGTTTGATGCACTAAACTTTTTTCACTATAATTGATGCTGTTAACTACTCTCCTTTTTGAATCTCTTCTTTCTCAGATCATCCCTGGAACACGACTGGTTCCTCAGAAGGCACTCCTACTCACTGCCTACATTTTCAGCCATTCTTCTAATTTTATTATTTATATAGAAGCCCCCCCCCCCAACCCCTGGTGTCTTTATCTCTAGGTTCAGACCTCTCCTTGAGCTCTAGAATCCTATACCCCAATGCACTCATTCACATATTGAATATTATATGTGACACGTGAACGAATGCACTGGGATCTACCTTCTTAGCACCTACATTAAGTGCTGGTGGCACATTTATGAACAGGATGAATATGAATGTTGAGCAAACCAGTGTAGTACAGACACTCAAGCATAGCTGGACCAAAACAAACAACTATCTCTCTGCACCCCAACCTACCAGCCAGATTCTCTGCTGGTGTGCTTTCCACCCAAGGAAAAACATCAGAATCATCCTTAATACTCTCTTCTGAATCTTTTTTTAAACTCCAAACACACACACACACACACATAAACACACACTGACGCACATATACAGACTTACTCAGACATGGTAGCAGAGGTAAATCTATCAGTTTGTTCAACTAGGCTCCTCTCTTTGGTTATAGCTCACACCAACCTCTGTACTACATGCAACAGAAACCAACTGGCTTTCACATTCTTTATTAATAACTTCAACCCACCTCTTCCATTTTATAATCTGCTTTTTCTTAGGGTACAAGGACCACATGCCAACTGTGATTCTCAACTAGCTGATAATTTCATTCTATACTCTTAACTGCAAACTTCTTTGAGACCCAGGAGCACTGTGAAATAAGAGTAAATGAACTGCACAAATCCTGACTATGAAATTAACAAAATCCTCTAGAGCTGTGCCTTCTGGTAACTTCCCTGCCTTTGCTTTTCCAGCAACACAGTAGACAAGATTCTACATGGGTTTATAAAAAAGTTTGATATATCCTTCATCAATTAATACTCTTCTGCTATTCAATATTTACAAAACATTTCTTCTAGTTAATATTTCTCAATAACCCTAAAACACACATATATACACACTGCATAAAAAATGCCACCAGCTCTTTGTCCTTCATTCTCAAGTTAGGTGCTGCCATTCCTTTCTTCACCTATACAAGCCTTTCTTCCTTCTATCGATAACTTCTATGTGCTTAGGATGACCATATACATTCTCTGAATCCTCAGCAGTTCTCATAACAAAACTGGAAAATACACGTTTGTTATTCTGGATGTGACAGCAAAGCATATGAAACAAGATAATTAACTTGATTTCTATTTCTTCCTCATTCCGAATGTATTGTGCTATATCACCTCTGCTTGATCACAGTTTTTATTGAGAGATAAAAGCCAAAGTGAAAAAATGATATTGACAAGAAACACTTAGGAATGCCCTGCTGAATACCTATTCTCACATTCTTGGAGCAGAGCCCTGAAGCAGGTATTATTCCCTCAAGAGAAAGCATAGTAGATTACTTCAACCCAATGGGGCATTCCTACTCCTACGGAAGGGGCGGTTTTACCTGGTACTTTGGAAGCTGCTCCTTGGCGTGGGGTAAAGATCCCCCGGAAGAACCATGGGAAGAGATGCTGCCGCTGCTGCTGCTGACGCTGCTGCTTCCTTGACAGCACTTGGGGGACATTTTGATAGGGACATCCTCTGTTTTCTGGGTTGGGAGAGACAGTGAGGTAAAAGGATAACTAAGTATATATCAGGCTTTGTCAACATGTTCTTTACTGGGAATTTCTTTGTTAAAACATTCTGGTGTCTAAGTTGCATTAAAACCCAGAAGCTTTTTAAATTTTTTTTCTAATAACAAAAATATGGTTCCTGAGAGTTTATAGTATTTGGGAAGGTGGGTACTATTAAAGACAAAAGGTGGTGGGATATATATATTAAGACTTTACTCTCATTTAATCATTTAATTACTTATATTTCAATTCATATTTTAAAATCAATAAGAACTGATCTGCTTTGGTTATTAGAAGGTTTTCAGTACTAGGTAGAGTCATAACCTACTAAATTGATAAGAAGAAAGATGACACTTCAAATTTAAATTTTTACCAAGCAAATGGAACTAAGGAAACAAAACTATTAATTTGGACAGAACTGGCTCATGTCTTTAATGACACAGCTCATCTAGTACTCCTTTTTAAAGGTACAGGAAGGAAAATCAGTGAGGTTGAATTTGTGAAGGATAAAGTCAAAACCCTAAAATAGGAGCTACTGTGAATCCACAGCATATGATGGAAATATGGTCTTTAAAGGTTAAGAATAAGAGAGGATTATCGACTATACGGTCCCTAAATAGAGTTCACTGCTAATTTTTATCACAGTGACATAAAGGTATAAAGATACACCTTAATTTTTACCTCCCTCCTCCACCAGAATATATTACTTTCTACAGAAGCTTCCTGTACTCTCTATAAGTTGTTTCTATTCTGAGTCTTCTTTGCCCTTTTTTTTTTCCTTGTGCAGCTTTTGCTTGGAAAAAACATGAATGCACTGCAGCTTATCTAATCTCCAGTGTGACAGTCACACTGGTGGTCTAATGCAAATGCCTGCAGTCATGTGCTTGATACAAACTCATGACGTTTTGTGCTTGCCAAGGGGGGTTGAGGGGGAGCTAGAAATGGGAACAGAATGTCATGAAAACACAAAACGAGCTGGTCCACAATGGTCACTCCAGTAATGATGGCACTGAAATGGACTTGGTTATTCTCAAATATCCAGCACTCCCTCGACACCCTCTTGAGATCTGGCTGTTACCTAATGCCACTTAAGCCAGAAGGCCGCCTCAGAGGGCCTAAAGTGACATGAAGTCCCACCTGCCTCGTGGACTGCTAGACCCTTTGGCTGGAGTACAACATACAGAACTGTCTATAATTGGAGAGAGCACCTGGTACAGTGTGCTGCACCAGGTACAGTGTGCTGACTAGAGCACTGATTGGATTCTTTGGTAGCCTTGGGCAAACTACAATCCTCCCTTAACCTAAAATTGCCTTTCTGATTAAATGAGTGCTTCTAAGAAAGCTTCTGTTCCAGATTCCAGAGTTATCACTACTCTGGTATACTGAAGCTTTTAGTTCCTTTTGAAAACTTTTAAGATTCTTTTTTCCTCCATCTGTCACCACTATTAGCAGCCCTAGTGATGGCATGTGAGTACTCAGCTAACCCATCTGTGTGAGGCCTTCAGAGAAATGGGAAATGATGGGGTAACCATCTTCTGTCCACCAAAGGGTCAAGTGCTGGCTCACCTAAACTACTTTTGATACAAATCTACCATTAAAGCCTACAGTGAATCACCTGAGAGATTTCTCAGCACCACCACCACCACCCCCACCCCCCACCTACCTAACAAGCCCAACAACTACTGTAATGATTAGCTACCTGGCAGAACTCCATTTTAAAACACTGTGGAATCCACCCAGTGAAACTGCCTTTAACCAAACACTTCCTTCCTGCAGAAATGATCCTTATCAAAAGCAGGAAAACAGGCCCTTGGCCCTGATGAGACAAAGGCTGTGTTATAAACTGTTCATTTACTTAGCTACACATTCTACATACTGCCAGAATTTATGGGTAGCAAATTACTCACCATAAGAAGAATAAATACAAGTGGGTTTATTTAATTTGGAAGCATCTGAACAATCACTGAAAAGAGAGTGAAAGGTCTAAAGGTGACAATTTAGAAGTACCCTGGACTCATATCCAAAAAGACTCGGGAAGGACTAGACTCTTCTCCTCACCTTTCCCATTCTGGCTTCAAAGGATCAAGAGCTGCTCTGTCCTCACCTCTACCCATCCCTAGTCCCCCCACCCCCTGCCCCAGGCCACCCCCCTATCCTTACCCAATCCACGAAAAAGGAGATGAATAAAAGCTTCCTTGGTCAGATAGGTTTGAGAAACACTCTTTTTTGAAGATGACAGTGCAGGTTTGTATAGCGAAAGCTATTTCATTTTGTTTAACCCAGTGCTACATAATACTTATTATCTATGAGAAACACTGGACAGAATAATCTATTAATTTCCCTTCACACTAACACTTTAGCACTTTATGAATTTTGGAGTTCTGTTTTACCACCACCTTTGATGCACATACTTGGCATCAAAATCCTACTGGATTGCAACTCACCAGCAAATTCACCTCTTAGTGATATTGATAGTACACTGCTTAGCTCTTGTCATGATAACTTGCCTACTGCTTCACCTGTGTTTATTCATGAGCACATACATGCCTGCTGGGGTAGGGCTTTGCTTATGTTTCTTCTCAACTATTGATGGCCCTATATAATATAACTCAAAAAGAAGCATTTCATACCTGAGCTGCCACTTCTTCAATCTTTTGAACAGCTTTAGAATCAAACAAGATTTGTCTGCCTCTCCTTTCACAGTCCTGGTAAACTATCAGGCGAATTTCATTCAGGTCAAACTCCGAACATGACCAACTGTGGATTAAAAAGGGAGAAAGAAGTTCTGTTATCTGTGACATGTGGGACGACTGTGGACAGATAAGTTTCCCAGCCAACGTGCCTTCGTGCATGTAACCAGGCCACAAGTGTGCCAAGACAATGATCCCCTCAGACCTGAGGCAGAGAGTGAGCACCGGGCAGACGGCCTTGTCCGTGGATTCCAACAAGCCATATGGATATTGCCAGTTTTCGCGACAAAGGCTTGGAAGATGCTTTACATAATAAATCACTGGAGAGAAAGCTTCTCCTTCCAAAGCCAGTTTGGACACAGATGGCAGCCAGAAATCGCAAGGACATGCAGAGAGGGCTAAATTTGGATGCCTGGGATCTGGGGATGGCACATCAGAATTAAAGGAGTGTTCAAGCTTCTGTGTCATTGGGCAAGGAACCATTTGGAGCAAGATATTAGAGCCTTCTCATCTTCCCCTCTCCCACCCACCCACACTCAAGTCAAATTGAGAGGAATTACATATCCTAAATTTATTATTTTCCCCTACTATGTATGACTCATTCTAATACAGGAGTTTTGAAAACCAAGCACATCACTGTATGGCATCTGAATTGCCAATAATTACAGTCAGCAACAAAGGAAACATGGCTTGTTCCTAAGCAAACCAAAAACTATTGGGATAAAACCGCTCTGAAGAAAATGTAAGTTTATTCTTGAGTAATAAAAGTCAGCATTAGGGAACTATAGAAAAAGTAATCATTTAGAATGTACCGCTTTGGGCATACTCAGTTTTAATCCATTAATCCATTCAACACATATTTGAATGCATATTAGGTTCCAGGCACTGCAGTAAACGCTAGAGACTCAGCGGTTATTAACCAGATCTGGTCCCTGCCCTCATGGAGTTCATGGTTTAGTAGGGAATATTAGGTTAATAATCATACATAAATATATAACTACAAATTGTCAAAAGTGTGAAAAGGAAAAGTAAAGGATATGACAGTTTCAGATGTCCAGAGTGAAAAGATCGGGAGAGGGGCAGAGAAGTCCCTAAGGACTTGAATTGACATTTAAACACAGACCTGAAGAAGCAAGAGTTAAAGAGAGAAAGTGAATGAGGACCGCAGCAAGGAGCGGGAGGGACACAGTAAGGCATAAGGCTGCTGCAGGAGAGAAAAGAAGAAAACAGTCAGAGAGAGGGTGCTGTGAGGTGGGCTGGGAAGGCAGGCAGGGACAGGATTGTGCTCTGTGAGATGAGAAGCCAAGGAAAACAGACGGCTGATCAGATCAGATCTACACTTTTAGAAGTTAAATCTGGAGGCTCGAGGAACACAGGGGAGGGACAGATGAAGAGTGGAAGCAGAAAGGCCGAACAGCATTTACAGTAAGAGTTCAGGCCCTCTGGGATGAAGGCTGGGGTGGCAGCCACAGAGGGGGAGGAAAGGGGACAGACGTGGGCTGGGAGGCAGAACTGAGGTCTCTGAAGGCCTGGATGGGTGCCTGAGGCAAAAGGGACCCAGCTGCTTAGAGAGCCCTGAGGGGACGTTTTAAAGGGATGTATGATGGATAGATGGACAGACAGACAAGACTAACGAAAGCAAACTGTAAAACTAAGACAGTATGACTGAAGTGAAGTCAGACACTTCTGGATTCAAATCCAGTACCATGAGAATTGAGGCTGACCTCACAAAGCTGCAATATGGATTAAGTGAAATATGTAATGTGCTTCACACAAAGAGAGACACATAGTAAGTGCTCCAAAATGGTAATAATTAGCTCAATGTTATGATTTTTAAAGAAAATTAATACAGCGAGGCAAGGGCAATATATGTAACCTTAACAACATTTGTACCCCCATAATATGATGAAATTAAAAACAAAAAAAGAAAATTAATACAGTGTGTGGTGTGCAATCACAAATTGTGCATTTTTGGTCCTTTCCTTTTTCATACTGAACATGCTCTTTTAAGGTAGCTGTTCTGTTTTCTTAAATTCCAGCAGCAAAACATGTAAAGTTCTGTTTGTACCTTCTTTCAACAACCTGTGTTCTAAGTTGTCATGCCCAGCATCCTTTCCTCCTAATTTTGATGATGACATGGCAAGTTTATTTTGGAAACCATTTTCCCTCTACTCTCAGCCCAGAGGTATTCCATGTTCCAGGTGAAACGTGGCCACATGATCCAAGCTGGCTGTGTGAGCAGGCCCCAAAGTTAGTCACTCAGTTCATAAATGGCAACCCTGGAGTTGGTGGTGGCTATTTTTGCCATCACGAGGTAAGAGCCTGTCTGAAAATGAAGTCAACGTGGAGGAAGGCAGAGGTGAGCTATGGAATCAGACAGACTCCTTTTGGCACTCGAAGACAGCTGTTCCTGCGTAAGCACTATTCCTGGAGTTAGTTTTCCGTCACAACCAAAAAAGCCTGATAACTGTGACCCAAAGCACTAAATGTTAAAATTACACAAGGTCACTAAAAACATTCTCCAAAATTATGTATTATTAAAACATAGTACACAGGTCAAAGTTACTGAAAGAAATCAACAAAGATTTAATTGCCTTGTGTTTTCTTGTTCAATCTATTTTGCTCCAATAATTTCTCATGCTGCCAAAAGAGCATTGTAATTTACAAAGCAAGTTGTTCAATCCTTATTTTTGAGGAATAACATTTATTCAAACATCAACTAAACTGAAGATAATCTGTCTAGAAGAGCTGAAATTTAATAATGGCCCTAATACCTTATTAAATGTTTCTTGGTTTTTTTCAATTAAAAAAAGATGGGAATAAAAAACACATGGAGGGAAAAGTATGTATGTCAGATTGTTCAATTTTTTACCCAAATGCCTTAAAAGTACTTTACAAAATATAAGGAAAACTCTATTCTTCCATGTGAACACTGTCTTTGGTTTAACAGCTAATTATAATTTTGACATTTACCATGTCTAATATTAGTAGAGGAAACTATAGTTAAGTAATTTGGTAAAGGAAATAGTGGCAAGACAAAGGCCATTAAATGAGTGCTTCAGAATGAGACAGGTCTGGGATCAAATCTCAGCTGTGCCTCTCACTAGGTTTATAGACTTGGGAAAATCTCCCCTCCTAACACTTGTAAGGCCAGTTGTGAAGATTAAAGGAGATAATCTATGGAAATTCCAAGTACACTTCCAGTCTTTCCCTGCCATCCCCAATAGACAGGGCTTGAGTTATTAGCAGTCACATGCCACATATATTCTCTTCATATTCACGTTCACTTCTCCATCGAGCCAACAGTTACTGGGGAGCTTCTGTGAGCACTGACCACGGTTCCTGGTGTTTTACTAAGGACAGCTCTCTGTATGACTACAGGCAACTGTGCATGATTGAAAGAAGTATGAAAATAAACCAGGGACTTCTGCCTTAAAATATCTGACCATTTCAGAGAAACATATTCTAATCGGAACTGTCTCACCTCTCTGCTTTTGTTGAAAGCAAAGAAAGAAAACTGTCCTTGGAGAATGCAGAGTGTATTATTTGTCCACTCTATGTCTACTTTATGACTTCAGACACAATATGATCAGATGAATTGTCTACCTTTTCTTACTGTAAAAGTTAAATAAAATGACTTACATGAACTCTTCTTGGTTTTAAAATTCTATGATGCTAAGATTTACCTGGGTAGAACTAAACCAGGTCTTATTTCTGGAACGATTCAAGAGCAGAAAGCAAGTAACCAAAGTTTGAATTGCTTCCCTGAAAACAACAAGCAATAGTTTAAATGATTTAAGATACAGAAAACAGAATTCTCTTTAAAATAGCTATAACCATGCAGTGTGGTTCAAATTATGTCCCTCAAAAAGATACATTCAAGTCCTAATTCCTGTACCTAGGAATATGACTTCGTTTGGAAATAGGATCTTTGCAGATGTAATCAAGTTAAGATGAGGTCATACTGAATCAGTATGTGCCCTAATCCAATGACTGGTGTCCTCATGAGGAGGAGGAAATTTGGACAAAGACACAGAAGGAATAATGAATAGGGGTTGCACTCCAGACTGAGGGCACAGCACTAACAAAAAGGCAAATGGCACAATATCACTGGGTACTTGGAATGTGTCTACTGCAGAAGAATCACCCAGAGGAAATGAGGCTGGAAAGACACTTTAGCACTACTTGTGGGGGATCTTAAATGCTATGCCAAGGAATGCATATTTTGTTTTTCAACCCATGGTGTGACAATTTGAAGTATTCAAGGAAAAAAATGATATGATCTGCCCTGGTTTAGGAAGAAAACTAAAGTAGCTTGAGAAGACCATTTTCAGGGCAAACGCAGAGGTAGTACTGACTTGTACATCTAGGATGTGAAGGAGTAATAGGCAACAAGGAAGAGAGAAGTAGTTGTACATATTTTCACAAGGTGATTTGCTATATCCTCCAAGACCAGTGCTAGTGTTTGGTCCTGCCCTTGAACTTTTACAGGAACCAGACTAGAAATGGACTTGAGTATCCCCATGTTGAAAAGCATGATCTACATTTTCCCTCTTGGTCTCACAGTAAGCAAGGAACCCTATATAATCAAAAAATAATTTTAAATAAGAGTTTAAAAAACAGTCTTATGGTCCAAGAATGTACATGTTCAAAGAGTCAGGTATGATAGGGAACTTTAAACAGTCCAAGAAAAGGTAAGATGAAACAAAACAAATTATCACAACAAAAACTGGCAAATCCTGCCCATTTAACAAGCAGTTCCTGATTGCCTACTGTGTGCAAAGCATTCTACCAGGCACTGAGATAAAGCAGTGAACAAACCATTACCCCTGCTCCTAGGAAATTTACTATATTTATGTGGTATTTTTCCAGCTACTCTGTTCTTTTTTTTCTGCCAACCCTCACTGCTTCCTTACTCTTTCTCAAAAAAAAAAAAAAAAAAAAAAAAAGTTTCTAAACTCAAACAGAAATCTCTCTAAATGTTTGCTCAAGAAGAGTGAAGAGGCTCAAATGTCTGTAACAATAAAGGAAGACTGGGGGTGGAAGAAAAGGGAAAAATATGCTTGA